TCTAGAGGTCTGGTTGCCTCAGGGTCGGTCCATGTGTCTTGTCAGTAGAGCCTCTCTCAGGGAGTGAGCAGAGAGAAGTGTCTCCCGCCTCCAAGGAGGAAAATACAGGAGTTCCCAGAATTCTCAGGAGAACGCCATGCCCACACAGAGGGCTCATTGACTATGACCTGATTGACAGACTAGACTTCACCCTTTCTCTCTTAATCCTCTCAAGCCCCAAATTGACACCAGATTATGTAACTACCATAATATGTCACTGATTTTGTTTCTCTAGATAACCCAGCCTAACACAATTTGGTACCAGGAGTGGTATCCAAGAAACAAAATCACAAAGATGAATTTTCTAAATTGGTTCCCATGTGTAGTTAGGCTTAAAGGCTCTAAGAACTCTGTGTCTGTGAGTACAGATAAGTCTATCACTTCTAGTAAAGAGGACACTGTTAACCTAGAACATGAAGTAGCAAAGCTAATACCCAAAACAGCACCACCAGTATCTGAAGTGTTGGTTAGAAGTGAGGCTAGGGGTGATCAAGTGCTTGATGATCTTTCTACAATTTTGTCAGGATAAGAAGTACAGTGAGGTTGGTTGGTTGGAGCTTCTTGCAATAGACAAACTATTAAAGGAAAGATAAACAGAGCTTAGGATGCCTGACTCAAATGCTGTACAACAGTGGCTTTGACATGATTGATGGATATTGTATTGGAAAGATAACCGTTTTTCTGGCATGTTTTTCCGACCTAATACTTCCTTTAACTTTGTTAAACTAGGAATCTTGGCTCGTGATATCCCAGAAGATAATGAGGACATGGCCAGACTTGATTTCAATCTCATAAGGTAAAAATTCTAAATTGAACTTGGGACTGGGCACTTTTGTGGACCAAAGATAAAAGTCATGTTAAACCTGGCATCCAAGTCAGCATTGAGTACCATCCGTTGCACGTCATCCGATTCTACTTGGACAGGTAGGTGTTAAAACCAGTCTTTCTGTTTGGGTTTTTTTTCCCTAATGCAGCGGGAATCCCGTGTCTCTCCCTGGGGCTCTCTGTCATGCATTAGGCAGCAGTTGCTCTTAGTTAGGAGTAGCAATCAACTTCTTTTTAAGAACTTTTTATGTGCAGGTAGATTTTCCATTGAACAGTTCACACACATTGTGTTTCATGCCATTGATAAGAATCTACACAACACAGTGCAACGTCATGGATCTCATTTCCTCCCTGCGTTTCATGTTTCCATTTCTCTTTTCCTAACCCCTCTGAACTCATCATTGGGTAAATGCTGCCCTTTGATCTCAAAGTACTGCTTACTTTAAGGTACACCCACCTCATCCTTTTAGATCTGCGTGTCGCCGAGCTGAAAATTGAGCCATGGGGGTGTTTAGGTCTAGATCTCAAGGATCACTGAGAGCTGATATAATTCGTAGAGGTTCTACCAGTCTCTTACCTGACCAGTACGGTTTTCTGGGATGTGGAGACTGACGTTTGTGTGGTCCATTGGACTGATGTTTCTGTGTACCGTTCCATTTTCCTCGCCCATCTTTCCGTCAACGGGAGAGTGTTGTCCAGGAGTTGTACATCACAACCTTACATGGCCCTGGCCGCTCACAACCTTTCAAGGCGCCATTCGGTGCTCACCAAAGTAGGATGTCGAGTCCTGTGTCTGGATTATTTCAGGCCACTAGACCTTGGTGAACCTTGAGACCCTGCTCCTGCTTCTCACAAGCCCTGCTGCTCATTTCCGCAAGGTGTTGATTGTGTCTCAAGAAGTTTTCACCACTTTGCCTGCCCCTTCTGGACTCCACGCTCACTGATAGGTTTGCAGCAAATCCCCTCAGTCAAACCGCGCTTTCTGTACCTGTTTAGCCTGCACGTCTCTCTGCATCTACTCATACCTCACCATTCTTGTAATGTGTACATAACAGTCCTTACTTTTAACCCCTGCAGTCCTCCCAGGGGCTTCCTACGCCTCCGTGGCATGACTCACCCTTTGTATGTTGTTCTGTCCTTCACCCACATGGAGAAAGACGTGACTTTCTGCCTCCATGGACAGCTAGTCTCAGAAACTCGACTGAGTCGGCATGGGCTCAGTGGCGGTGTGTGTGGTTTTCTGGTTCACCCACATTAATGGGTGTCTATCCGCTGGCCTCTATAGTTCATCCTCCTTTCCCCTCCTACCCCTAGGAGCCAGCAAATCATTTGTGTGTGAAAACCTTTTCTTGACTTTGTCAGTAGCTGTGTATTTCACTGAGCATAATGCCTTCCGTGTTCACCCATATCAGGAGCTCCTGCTCGCGGTGGGCATTTAAACTGCTTTCATCTTTTGTGCTGTGGTGAATTGTGCTGTGGTGGAAATGGGCATGCAAATTTCTATCTGTGTCTCGACCCTTACTTAGATGTATATGATACTGTTTCCGACTTTTCAGAAGAAAGGATCATATTTGTTGCAGTGGGACCATTTTACAGCCCTACAGGCAGTGTTTAATTAAGGTTGCCAGTCTCCACAGGCTTGCCAACATTCGCTGTTTTCTGTAGGTTTCTGCGCATTCTGTTTTGCTACTCACAATGGGAAAAGATGGCTGCTGGAAGTGTGGGTGAGCACCTGTGGTGCCTGCACCCAGTACTAGGCAACTTAAAGAATAATGAGGTCTCTGCCAAACTCTGCATTGCATGGGTGAACTTGGAGGACATAATACTGGGATGAGGTGATCCTCACTTTCTGGTTTTGCATCTCTAATAGCTAATCATTGCTAGCATTTCGTCCTGTTTGTGGGCGACCATTGTGCATGGTGTCGTTCTCCTTTCCAGAGTGCTCTGTGAAAGGAATCTGCCTGACTTGTGTCTGTGGATCAGGCGACCTGTCACTCAGCTGACTCTTTCAGGTCCAGGGATTTTTGTGCCGTGAGTTCGGGAGTTTCTATGCGTAGCTTCATAGCACCTGTGTACCGGGTTTTATTTCTTCGTTGCCATTTGGGTGTCTTTCACTTCTCTTCCTCCTTTCTGGGTACGGTTAAGACTCAGTGCAGTACCGATCAGGATTGGTGACACAGGACATCCTTATCTGGTTCCCATCTGAAAGGAGAATGCTTTCATTTTCTCTCCTGTGTACCACCTTTGATCAGTTTACCACCCAAATAGCCTTACCGGTCAGGATTGTGTGAGGCTCACTCTGTGACATGAAGTCACTCCTGGCAGTAGAACTTTGAAGCTGTTGAAGCTATCTTGTGGACTGTGTCTTGCCCCGAGGAGGCCTGGTGGCATGACGATTATGCTTCGGGCTGCTGGCCACAAGGTCCACAGCTTCTAAGGTGTCTCTGAGTGAACTCAAACCAATGCACAGTGTGCACCCCCCTGAAGTACTGCCTGGATCGTACTGGGTACCTAAGGTTGCCCCAGGCAACACCATTGCAGACCAGTGAGAACTTAGAGGGAACAATAGGTTCCCTTTAAAATGTTCAATTTTTCGACGAACTTTTGGTAGTCTCTCATACCAAGAGCATTTGCCAATTCTGACTACTCCTGATGACCTGCCTCCTGGAGCAGTGATGGGCCAGACCCCGTGGAGCGTCATCGTCATCTTCCTGCATTCTGAAGCGCCTGCCCCACGGCTTTGTTTCAGATCGTCACCGTTTTGCTGAGTGTAGCTGCTGGCTGCGTTTTTCTTGATAGCTGTCAGCCATACTGAGTTTTTAAAACCGCTAAATCCCTCTCTTTCAGAGTTGTGGTCTGCAATCTCTATCCGTTCGTGAAAACGGTGGCTTCTCCAGACGTCTCTGTGGAGGCAGCTGTGGAGCAAATCGACATTGGTAAGCCATGCCCGCCATTAGCTGTGCCTAGCGTGCTCCCCACTGCAGCGACCCCATGTGATCGTCGTAGAACTGCCCCAGAGGGTTTTCTTCGTGGT